TACAATTTCCTTACTTGTGAGTGAAAATATTAAAAAAAATAATACTTAACCAAAGAATCATTTCTTTTGCTTTACAGAAATGCACCTATTACCCAGAGACAGCAAAGTATGCACCACAATTCCTGCACGGACAGCCCAGCCCGAGCAGGCTCCAGTATTAAACAGCGACAATCTGTAATGATCATGAGCACTTGGAGAAGGAACATCCAAAACTGAAAAGTCCAACATTACACATTCTCTGCTAAGAACCCTAAAAACCATTTTTCCTAGCAAATCCCACAAAACTGTATCCTACAGGGAGTAACTGAATGCCAGATTACGGATCACCCCCTGAGCTGTACTCTGATCTAAGCAGCTTCCAGAAGGGGACAGCATAAGAAACAGGGCATGTGTAAAATCACTCTGGTAGTCCTATCTCCATGAATCACAGGTTTAAGGATTCAGGGATAGAAACTGCATCCAGACAACCCACCTGTGGACCCACCCTCCATGAGCTGCCTAACTACTAGGACACCCACAGCACCCTCAGCAATGGATTAAAAACATTCACCTACACCGGTTAGAAAAGTATTCCCTTTTGTTTATTATACATTTAGTGCCTAAAAATGTTGCAGGATGTACCCTGACTCTTCTTGTAGCAACCAATCTTTATAGTGTTCATGACTTCATGCATTTGTATCACTTCCCCCGCAGTCACCTCTTTCCAAGCAGAAAAGTCCATATACTCAGGACTTTTTAAACAAGATGCCATTCCATTGCCATTTTCTACTATCATACTAAAGTTCACTACAAGAAAAATTAACACAGAAATACCACATGGACTTTTTTTTTCCATGTACAATGCTGCCTTGAACAACAAGAATAATTTATTTGTCATTTTCTCTCCTCTCATCTGTTCTAATCTGCTGTCCCTCTTGTCTTTCAGAGCTAAATGCCTAGAAGCAAAGTTCATTGTCTTTGTTAGGCCAACACATAGCTGTAAAATGGAAAATAATGTAAAAAGTGGAAAATAAGGAGTCATTCTTTGAACTATAGATAGCAAATTCTGTGCAGCAATGAAAACATCTTTTGCAGATCCACTTTAACAATTAACAGCATTGAGACTGTTGGTGAGGTCGATATTCAGAAGAGCTGAGAGTTCATTTCCAAATACTAGGAAGGTGTCAGCAGCTGCAGTCACAGCAACTAATATTTGCATCCAAGCTTCTAGATCAGTGATTGTTTATCAAATGTCTTGCTAAGTGGAATCAATGCTTGCCAACTCCTTTTCTATTTGGGCCAAATACATTTTTGGAGCCACTGTGCTCAATGGGATTCTTTTGATCTTTCTCCAGGGTTTCAGATTGTGCCCACAAGTACTAATTTGTCTCCCCTTACTGATGAATAGCACAGGTAGGAGGGAAGCAGAGCCTTTACTATGCAGGCACCAGTTCTGCACTCAGAGCTTTGCAAGCAGAGCCATGTACTGTCACGAAAATAATACTGATAACACTGAGGCAGCAGTAGGATCAAGGTGTTGCAACACTGCCAGGCACGAAAGACTACAGCAATATGTCCTTGGGGACACTAATAATTTTCTTCTCTGTACTCTCTCCCCACTCTTTGACTTTGTTGAGACAGCCATTCTTTGTGACATGTTTCTCTGCTGCACCCACATGTCAGGGAGTAGAATTTAGTCTTTTCTAAGAAGTCTTTTTTTAAAAACATATCCCAAAGTAGCAGCTGGGCAGAAAAGCTGTCTTTCTCAGTAAGAAATGAAGTCAGCTTTGCTAAACAGACTCTTCCCTGAAACTTCCCTGGAAATCTGCAAGAGCAAACAACTGAAACAACCCTCTTGCTAAAACATGGTATTATATACATGGCACCTTCCATTCCGCTCTCAAAACACAGAAAAAAGGTTGCAAGCATAATTCTGTCAGTCCAAACTGGAGGAAACAATGCACAGAGAGTTTAAAGGACCTGTTGAAAGTTTGTCACTTCCGAGCCTGAGTAAGTTATATTCTTGGTTTGTAACCCAGCAAACCCTTATTTCTTGACTCATAACCCAGTGTTAACAACTCTTTCCCAGAGACTGGATGACAGAGGAATTTTAAGTAAGGGTTCCCTGACAAAAGAATCCTTTCACTAGCACTGGATCTACAACAGGAGAATAGGGTAAGGCTGACAGCACTAGTTAAATGTAATAACACCAGCAAGGTTTCATACTATGACCACAGAAAAAAAAAATTAATTGTAAGAATGCACACTCAACCTTGTAAAATTCTAACCACCAATACAGCAGACAGTCTCCAATTGTCAATAAGCAGCACTATTGTGAGCAGAGCTCCCCCGGGACCATCGTGAGTGCTTTGAAAACTGGCATTTGTGAAGTACGTGCATCAGGGAGAGTTCTGAGATCAGCTTCCCTGAAATCAGCTCCCATATTTACTGACCTTCAAGGGCAAAATAGGAACTCCAGTTGTTTACATAAGCTTTATTAGAGGGAATTGGATATGCAGGGTTGTCTTAGGGTGTAACCAGAAAAGTTACATCTATATAGGGACTTAAGGTGTGGAGATTGCATTGCCATCTGTAAATTCATTACTGTGCATATTCTATTTGCATATGTAATGACAGATACACCTTCCTAAATACAGTGGACTAACACATATTTAGCATTCTGGCTAAACTACTGAGAAGAAACAACATAGCTCTGCCTTTGAGGATAGAGACAAACAACAGCACTTGGCCACCGCTGAAGGAGTTGAGAGACTCCTGTTCGGCTGCACTGCCAGTAACTGGTATTACAGGTGCACACAATGGGCAAACTGTGCAAGACAAGTCTGAATTATCAAGCAGTAAGACGGCTTCTCCATTAAGAGGCATCACTGACCATCTCACTGCTTGAGAGCCTCCTTGGGAATAATCCAGTCATTGTTCTCAAGATATTGGTCATCACGCTTAGCATGAGAGTACCTACAGACACCCTTACTGATCCCAGCAAACCCCCGCCAAGCGCAGCACTGGAGAGTCAAAGAGCCTCCCTCCTTTCCAAGCTCAGCAAGTCGCTGCTGCTGCCACTGCCCAGCCGTGGGGCCGGGTCACCCACCCCGGTGACCAGCGGGTGAGGGACACAACCAGACCCACACGCTCTCTCACAGGCACGACACTTGATGGAGAGCTGGAGCCAAATTCCTACAACCCCCGTGAGACCGGACAGTAGAGCAAAGGCACCCGACCTGGAGGCAAGGCTGCTGTCCAAGCTCTCCACTTACCTGGCGCCAGGGAATACCCCTGGGGAAAGGCTCTTCCCAGCAATCCTGTCACAGGAAAACCCACTGCCCAACACTGACCCTCTCTGCACCAGTCAGCCAAAAGACAGAGATCCACCTGAAACCACATTCGATCCTTCTCCGGGCACGGGAGCCGACTTGAACCTCAGCTCCTCAAGTTACAGGAAGGCTTCATGAAACCTCCCTGTGAAACAGCCTTGTTTTCCTGGTTGGCCACGAAACACCGTCGGCGTGACCCGAGCTCACCCCGGGGGTCGGAAAACAGAAAATAGAATATATAACTTTCATTTCCTCAAAAAAAAAAAAAAAAAGAAGAAGAAATGCCTGGAAACGGCACTTCAGCCTCTCGGCGCAGCCGGTGCTGAGGGAAGCGGGGCAGCCCGGGTGTGCCCGGCCTCCCCCGAGCCCTGACAACGCGCCCGTCGAGGGCTCCGCGGCCCCGGGGAGCACCGGGGGCGAAGGCGGGGGCGGCGGGGCAGGGCGGCTGGAGCCGGTGGGATCGGACACTTACCATGGTGCGGAGCGCAGGCTGGGAGCCGGCGCGGCCCCGGCCCGGCCCGGGTGGCTCCCGGGCGCTCCCTCCGCCCTCCCCGCCCCGCGCCAGGTGAGGCCCGGCCGCATCGCGCCTTCCCACAATGCCCCGAACGGGAACTCCCCGGGCGCCTCCTCCCGCTCCCCTGGGGCGAAGGGCAGCGCTGGGCTGAGGGCGGCACAGCTGGGCGGCCCTGTGCCAGGGCAGCGTGGGCTCCCCGGCACCGCCGTGCCCACAGCGCCCGGCTCTGGGCGGTGACGGGCCGGGGGTGCCGAGCCCCCGCCCGCTGTCCCCTTGTCGTTCAGGACTGCTCCAAGGGCACCCTCCTCACCATGGCACCCTTCTCACCACAGCACCCGAGATTAATAAAAACGCAGTTCTTGCAGTCCACCGGCTCTACCCACTGTCAGGCATTCATACCCTGAAGACACTGGTAGATCTGCAGGTACGATTGCTCTGCAGCCCATCTCCCAGAGCAATCCCATCTCCATCAAAATGAAACTCAGATAGTTTAAATACCTTAAATGGCTGGGATTTGCTAACCCTGTGCTTTTTGATGGAGCTGGATGAGAGGGCAAGGCATCAGCAAATCCCTGTAACCTCTGGCAGGGATTTGCTGATAAGGAGCTGGTGCCAAAAGAATGTGCAACATCCACAGACTCAGCACTTGAATCAAAAGCTCTAAATCCAGTCCTAAGGCTTCTCAAGCTTGTACAAGGAGTCTGATCCAGATGCAAACGACCACGGGCATAAAATGAGAGGGGTTAGGATGCTTAAATCCCATGTTTGTAATCTAAAGGAGAGACATCCCCCCAGCACAGCATGCATTTAGTCCCAAGCACAGCGTGTCTGGATTCAGGATACAGATCACATCTGCTCAGGGAAGAGCTGTGCCCTGCTCTTGGATGCAGTGCTAGATGCATCTGAGTCATCAGTGAAAATGGGAAAGAAATCCAAAAGGGCTTGGGGACTTTAGGGGACACTGACAATCTCTCTTCAGCCTCTGGCTTCAGCAAAGGGGAGAGATCCTTGGCCAAAAGCAATTGTGCATGTATAGCTGAGACAGCAACTGGGCTTAAATCTGCTACCAGCTGGAAATGCCTATTTGCAAGAGCAGAGAGCAAATGCATGTGTGTGCTCCTTATCCTCATTTATCAGTGTTGAAGTCATGTCCACATTTCCTTAAGCATGCATGACCCTACTCCTCTTGGCCTTCCATAAGCTTTGATTTGGTCTATTCTTCACAGAGTCCTTCACTGCTGTTTCCTCAGTTCTGGTTTCTGCATGTTCCAGCCCCATCCCACCAAGCAGCACATCACATGCTGTGCTGTGGCACTCCCAGCTGCTGGGTGCTCTGGTTTCATTTGTGCACAACACAACAAGTCCCAGCTGCCTACAGATCTCAGTGATCTGTTCACTTGCCCCTGGCGTCTGTCTTTCCTGAGTACACATCCCAGCCCATAAAGCAGTACTATCTACAGACCCTAAGAACATGCTTGCCCTTTTTTGCCCAGCTGTGCAGCACACACCGTGCAGCACACACCATGCCATGCTGCCAGACTGCACTGCCTCACTTGTTTTGCTGGGGCACCATCTTGCCTTCAGTGAGCCTGCCAAAGATACACTTACTGCAATCAGCATCTGTTAAAACAGACCACAATCTTTCAGATTCTCTGGAAGACAGCTGGGATGAGTAAACAGGCCACACTAAGTGCCACAGTGCCCACACTGCCTTTCCCAGGAGGTAAACATCTGCCTTCCCCACGACCCTGTTCATGCTCCTGCCCCTTGCAGTCCCCAGCTCTACCTACTGTGGCCTATGCAGAAGAACAGAGAGCTGTCTGCACTTGCACCCAAACACTCTGTTGGTGAACAGGGAGTGTTCCCAGACAGCACTGCAGCACTGGGAAAGCCAAGTGTCTGTGAACACTCAGAACTGGATTTGCCTTACATGCAAGAATGTGGACACCACAGCACAGCTGTACTACAGAAGTGGGACATCAACACTTTCATCTCCAAAATGAATTTGAAATTAAGGGATGAACATACCCCTCAATCCCTACCTATGTAATTTGCTCAGGTGATGGACAGTAATTTTTTTTTTTTTTTTGCTTAACAACTGTTTCCCAATAATCTTGCTTTTCTGTGCAAAGATCTTCCCTAATTAGGCCCATAGGCTCAAGACAACCATCCTGCTGCTTTTGTGGTTTTTGCAAGTAATCAGAAAAAAAGCAGCAGCAGCAAATACATCATGTATACAGTGCACATGAACAGCAGTGGCCAAAATCAACCTATTATGGCCAATCTTGGAGGTTGGCAGAGTGAAGAAGCCCTACAGAAACAAGGCTGTAGATATAGAATCATGCCTAAATTAGATGCTTTCCAGCTCAGAAAGCCAGGCTGCACTTAATGACTGCCTAAATAGCTGTGGTAAGGACTTGGAATTCTCCCCTCCCTGCCTCTCCTAGCACTGTGTACCTGCATAATGCTCTGATAAGGAAGATAAGCATCTTCTAATGGTTCCTACTTGGGAGGTTTGAGCTACCAGTGTCACTCAGCAATGGGAGCAGGGGGAGGCACCTGTAGCACACGGTTGTGCCAGGTGAACCGATGGGGTGAACTCATTCCAGTAAAATGCCAGAGGATGGACTCCATCCAGTTCTTCCCTTAGCCCCAGTTAATTAATTTGAATATGAAAGCTTGCAAAGGAATGCAAATTTATCTCTCTAACTCAAAACTTCTGCAAAAGGCAGTTTTGACACCCTTCTCTTTTGGCTTCTGCCTCTGCCTGAAAGAAAATGTTCATACTCCTTTCTTAAGGGCCCTTTGAAATAGGCTTTTAAGACAGACAAGCAGATTTTTTACTGCTACTGGATATTGTCTCCTCTTTGCTCATATTCCACTTTTCTAGCAGCCTGTAGCATTCAGAAGCAGAAAATGTTCACACCAAAAGTTACAGTGGATTTAATGGGCCTTGTGTGCCTACACCTGCTATAAGAGCTGCTCTAGCTCCTAGGTATCAGTTCGGGTGAGTTTGGGCATTATTTACTTGAAAAAAAGTCACTGCTAAAAGGTCCAATGCCTAAATCTGCAACAGGCTTTGTCTTAGGCCCTCTTAATCTCTGCAAGCTTTATGCACTGCAGAAGCTAATCCTGGACCATATAAATAAAGCTATATATTCACCAATGATTTACAATTGATTGGGAAGTTATGTTCCTGTACATTTCCAGAGAAACAAACAAATCCTGACAGCTTCAATTAAGAGATAAACTGCTGTCTAAAGAACAGCAGGGAGTGAACAAAATATAACATTCTCACTTTGTTCTAAAAAAAAAGGTACAAAAACTCCTTCCAAAAACAAGCCCCAAAACCAAGCACCTTTATATTGCAGAAAGGTGGCTTTTTCCTGACTTTGAGTACTACAGCAAATGAAGCAGAACACTGGCCATTTACCTGATTCTAGCCAGCACATGCCTTGGTGTCATTTTTCAGCACCTGAACTGAGCTGAGAGACTTCAGGTAAGTAGCCCTGTACAAACCAGGGAGTTGAGGCTGATGAAAACTCCACTTGGTGATTTTTTTATAGGAGACCTGCTATGCAGATTTTTTTCCACTTGATACTAGGTCTGTGGAGGAAAGAAAAAACTTTAAAAGCCCAATCTAAATTCAGCTGCAGGAGGTATCTTTTAATTGCACTTTGGATCAATAGAGAAGCAACCTAACACTTGCTCTTGGTTACTAGGCAGGGACTTGTACTTTTCCAGACTGCCTTTCATATGTTCCCTTTTCCTTATTTGCTCACACAATCTGGATTCTCCACAGTTTAAGTGCAGAACAAAGCATTCATATCACTAGAGTGCATACCAAATTACATATCTGTGCCACTGATTTTGGTACCTTATCAGCAGCAACAGCATGTTCAGTAAGTAGTCCCAACATTTAAGTAGTTTAAAGTATTAGAAAAGTGTTAAAAATAGCAGTCTCAAATCCTTATAGCCTGTACTGAAGTGATAGGCATACAAGTACTTAAAGGGTGTCAAATAGCATTTTATTTCATTTCCCAGCTGTATAAAATTCAGAGCAGACCAAAAGGTAGACAGATATTAACAAAGCTCCATCCACAACTCTGCTTCAATCAAAGAAAATGTGTTATGGTAGCCCTCTTGTGTTCAGTTGGATTTACAGCTTTTAGATCCACAGCACCCTTCCTCACCACCCCTGAAATCACGGCTCTGCATGGTTTAACCACACTGCCAGCCAGCTCTTTGCCCTGTACACCTTCCTTCAGTTTCTTTCATGTTTTTCCTCTTTCCATCCTGGCTGTAAAATCAGACCATGCTCCTGAAACAGCAGAGTGCTCAGTTGGTATATTCACAACATAAAACAAGAGAACTGCTGTTTTGAAGTAGGAGGACCAGGACACCCCTCATTGCCTGTGAGCATGCTTATATTCCCAGCATTTCTCCTCCATGAAGGGACTGTAATGAACAAAATTCACAGCCTTATTTCTCTCTTTTAGTTAATGCCTGTGAGATTAAGTTTTAAACTGAGTGTCCCACAGACACCATTTAGACATGTGCAATTCTCTACCCTCATAAAAATCACTCTGATGTTCTCCAAAACCTCTAAGTACTATTGACTGTCCTGTTTATTCCAGACCTTTGCTACCAATCACCATGATTAAAAAATCTGTTGTCTACCACTCAACTGGGGCACTGCACAGAGCTGTAGGAGGTAGTGGCTTTTACAGTATTCTTTTCCAACATGCAAAGGCTGTAGCAGATGATCAAGTTATGACTGCACTGCTATGGGTGCTTTATGGGATGGAGTCTGGTAACTGAGGGTAAGGTAACGGGTTATTTCCTAAACAATGCTCACCTTCCGTGTCAGTCATCCCTTATTCAGCCACTGCCAGACCAGCTCACTCTTACAGATCAGGAGGCCCAGGTCAGCAGGTCACTTGTACTTCAGGAGCTGCTATCACTTGTCTCAAGGAGCCAAACTCCAACAGGGATGTGCTGCGGTGGAGGAAACCCGGAGGAGGAGCCATAAACTATG